TCGATATATTTGTATTCCTTCTATTTCAATCTCCGGTACAGATATACTTGAGTGATAAATAGGCCAATAAATTTGTCTTACTCGATAAATATTGAATGATATACCCTGATAGCATAATACCAGTAATGACCAAACAATGTGTTATTACCTGAATGCTTTGTTTCTAAATGTTATGACCAAAGTTGTTTATAATCCAGCCAATAAATGCCGTACTCGTGCACTAAATACTATGACGTAAGTGTTAAATACGAAACATAAGTTACAGCAGCTACTTATTTTTATCTAGCAATAAATTTAGTTTCAATGGCTGTCTACTTTTATACTGTGTTAAATACCGAATATGGTATTTTTAAAAACTTGAAACAAACCCTATACCAACCCGTCTGGCCAGCGTGGTATAGTAGGCCAAAACCTCCTTTCTAAGAAGAGGCTTATGTCCAGCAGTGGACTGTTAAAGGCTGTTAAAAACTAGTTAGGCTTATATGGTACACTCGGTAACAGAACCCTACCGCGAGTCAGCGGAACGGTACAACGCCCTCTATCGAGGTTGACCTTAAACATTTATTAGTATGTAATGTTTTTGATACTTAACATACTGACCTATACTTAGTACGACTGTCCGCACAGATCAGCCTTTATTCAAATGTGTTTGTCACATTCTTGCGTTGTATTTTGGTCATCGTGTCCTTATTCCAACAGCATTCCAATATTTGGAATAAAATTAGGTTCGTACAATCTGATAGCAATTATGTTGGTTTTACGAGGCGGTTACCAGAACTCACGCTGGCACGAGCTCATTTTAAATTGTCAGTGAATGTTTTAAGTTGTTGGGGATTTGGGTTCCGGTAACCTCACTCACTCAGTGAAAGGTAAGGAAAGAATTGCTAAACACCGGTTTTCTGTGAGGCCGTGGTATCACTCCGGTCGGTCGTAAGCATGGCTCTCCCACGGTATAATCGAATTAAACGCATTGTTATATACTTCAATTTAAATTGCCATTTTTATTGCTCTGAATAATGTGTACATACATAATACATTTCCGTTGAACACATTGTTTTATGTTTTTCGGATTGCAATAATTTTTAACTACCACATTCAGTGTTGATTTAGGTGTCTAAGGCCATCTGATGATGGTCTAGGAAATAGAGGTGAGGTTCAGAGAAGATACCATGTAGTCTGCATATAAGTGAGGTGGATTTTAAAGTAGATTGATATGATATTATAGACTGTGGAATATTATTTTATAGTGTAGTGTTTAGTATTACAAATCAATCATTTAAACTACAGCCGCGTCCTCCTGTAATTGATTTTTTTAAAGTTCTTAAAAGAGCGAGCCTTAAAAACTCAACCTGCGGCAGGCATCCTTGTAAACTGGGGGCCTACCATGAATTTTTCTAATAATTACCGAGTTTAGAGCAGCTCAACATTACAGGTAACCTGACAGGTTTTCTATTTGTATCATGAACGTTTCCAGCTGCACTGTAATGTATCGATTTTTGACCTGAATAATTATCTCTGGTCAATTTGGCAACAACACACCTATACATGTTATAAACTAAACGTTCTAAAATACTTCTCGTAATCGTTATCGGTTTTCCGGTTTTATAAACCATAAATAATCACAGCTTAGTTTCAAGTATCTTCAACAAACTTTGTTTCTTTCGATGGAAACAAACACACATCGTTTTAAGACGTTGGGAGGTTTTTTAGCCACTTGAGACCTATTTTTGAACGAAATTCTTTATGTCAACATAATATAATATAAATATATATAATACATAATATAAAGTATACAAAATTAGAAATAAATATCCGAGGCGATTTTGAAAATTTAAGTGAAATGTTTTTTTCTATGGTTTATTTGTCTTTGAACCTTAAAACAACCTGTGAACAGTAAAATAAATATGTAAGAACTGAGGTCCCATTTGACTTGTTTCCGGCAACCACTAGCAATTGGAATAAATGTAATTGTGAATGGAACCTATTAATAATACCTATCGTTCCTATGATTCTATACTGTTATTTTTTAAGTTTTATTCTACAATCTTATTTTGGAAATAAATGGTTTTATTTTAAGAGTTATCTCAGAAATATTCCACCAAGTAATCTTTCAAAGCTTATATATCTAAACTTCAAACCGGAATAACAAAACTTATATGTTATTCATAACTTAGGTGTAATGCAAATCAACCACTTCTTAAATCTATTTAAACAAAACTTAAAGGTACCTGAAACAAAACTTGTAGGTGGTCCAAAACTTTACTCAGTTCGATACTGGTTTTAACTGTATGTTACGAGCTAAAACTAAATAAATACAGTGAGATGTGTGGTTTGGTTGTGTAGTACCTACTAGGTGATGGCTGTGTGTGTTGTGCTTTTTCCTTTTTTTCGATGTCCATGAACTTTCTTAGCTTGTGTTTAATATTGCTGCTTTTTGTAGATTTATACACACGGAATCATCTAAATCTATTAAAGCTATGGTGAAGGTGTTTCTTATTATTTTACGTTTTTAATTTAAAATTACACAAAACAGTTCAATAAAAATTACTTCATGGTACACTTCATGGTACATATAATATATTAGTTACACTTCATGGTAACGCCAAGCGGGGAAATATCAATCACGTGACTACTGACCGAAGATCGCTGACTCGTTCAATTCTCGGCTAAAATTGACCTGTTTTAAGAGTTCATGGTAGGCCTTACTAGGCTTTACTAGGCGTGGCGTCAATCAAGGGGAGAACTGGACTAAGACCTGACCTCCTCGGAGTAGGGTGCCTGAGTGGTTTTTAGTAGTAACACCACATACTCCTGGCTCCGATATCAGATAAAAAATATTTAAACTGGTTTAAGGCATAGGTATGGTTTAAATAACCGTGTGAAAACAAAAAAAAAACTATTATTTTGATTTTACAAACAGACTTTAATTTTATTTATTCGTATAGATAATAATCTATTATGACTGTTATGAGTTGTCACACAGATTTACGATTAAAACGCTTGTTGTAGTGATCGTTCATTTTGAAAATATAATAAGGTATTGGCAGATAACGTTTGATAATCTAAAAGTTTTTTTTTTTGTTTTTAAAAAGACAACTCCCGCATTAGGAATAAATCTTGTGTCGCGGGGGACTTTACAAACATACATGAAACGGACACAAAGAACACCCAGACTCAGAACAACAATTTGTGGATCACACAAAGTGTCGTCGCATGTGGGGTTTGAACCCACAACACTCGGCGTAGCAGGAAGCGGCGTGGCGACCGCTTAAACCACTACGCCATCCGTGCAGTCACGTGCTTGTTACTAATTTTCAGTTTATCTACTGTAATACTTGTTGAGATCACTTTAGTGCCATCCCATCGTATCCCAAATAAAAAAAATTATCACTAAGTCGAATTTGCGGTATAACTGATTACAACATAATCTCAACAAATAAATAAAATTGGAGTGTCTGTTTGTAATTTCAAAATTATAGGTTTTTTTATGCTCACACGATTATTTGCACGATACCTATGCTTAAAACCCAGTTTTTTTTGTCTGTCTGGCTGGACCGATTTCGATAATATTTTACGACCAGGTAGCTGTCTACATAAGGAATAACTTAGGCTATTTTAAATCTCAGAAAAATTCTTTAAAATTTTGCAACCGGCTCTATCTCTTGGCGTTACGCAGAGATATAGCTTCGCTGTGCATTCTTTATCAGGAGAGAATTTATTCAGACTAATGCCGGCCACAACTTTTCCATCAAAATGTTCATCCCCCCCCACTTGGATAATTGGCCCTCCGCCACTGAGCGCTTTTCAAGACACTTGGTGGCTCCCACTACCAACCTGTGGAACAATTTATCCGCTGCGGTATTTCCGGACCGATACGACCTTCAAACCTTCAAGAAAAGAGGATTCTTCTTCCTCAAGGCTGGCAACGCGCTTGTGACTTCTAAGTTGCAGGCGTTCATAGGCGGCGGTAGTCGCTTTCCATCAGGTGATCCATCTGCTCGTTTGCCCCCTTTTCCATAAAAAAAAACTTAAAAAACAATAATACTTCATGTAATTAGAACAATAAAAACAAGCACATAAAGAACTAAAAATATGTTTTGGCTTAGCTCCGCAACGTGTTTGCGAACGTGATTAGATAAAAAAATCCTTCATTATCAACAACATTTAATAGTCCACTGCTAGATATAAGCCTCCTTAAAAATGAAGTTTTGGCCCACTCAAATCTAAAAATTCTTTTTAATTCCTTTACATAATATGTAAATCACGTTTGCCTGTAATTAATTTAAGTTAATTATTGTATATTATATTAAAGCAATATATTATTATTATTAAATCATACTTTAAAATATGATAAAAAGTAATAATATAAAAAATTGTGACGTCACAAACATGATGGCAGTGACGGTCATACTACACGATAGAGAATATAAACATTGTTTTAAAATTAATCATTCCTTTTTTATGTTATCGTTTATTTAATCATAAAACACTATTAATATGATAGTACACACAACAGGGTTATGTAACATATTGGGCAACTGGTCTTCAAAGTTTTCTTGGTCCACACGCAACCTTTTGTTAATTTTTATTAATAGATTATTTATAAAATATACCTTGTGGTTTAAAATAATAAATCCACACATCTCACACCGCCGTCTGATTCCAAACTAGGCAGAGCCTGTACTGTAGTAATAAGACCACTGATAAACATACTTATATATTTCTAAATAAATACATATAATGGATAAAGTACACCAAGACACAGAACAAATCAAAGTGCTCATCACACAATTATGTATCCTGGGTGGGATCCGACCCTCCGATTTTCGGCTCAGGGTGAGGGTCACTAACCACTAGACCAACAGACCTGTCAACGTATATGCTCGAAGAGCTAAGCAAAGACGTATTCAAAGCCCACATTTATTATACCCCATAATTTTAAACCCACTTACGTGACAGCGGCAAACCTGCTGCCGTCAACCGAGCACTTTAGGAATCAGATGGGGAAAATTGGTATTTCAAAGAAAGGAAAAGTGGATAAGATGGGTTAGCAACGGCAGAAAAGGGATTTTGTTTATACGGATTAAGGAGCGTAAATAATAGCACTAGTAAGTCAGGGTCGCATACTGCCTAGATGTCGTAGTGGTTTAAGCGGTCACCTCGCCGATTCCTACTGCGCTGAGGATTCAATCCCCATATTGTGTGACCCAAATATTGTTTTTCTGTGTATGGGTGTTCTTTGTGTCTGTTTCATGTGTGTGTGTCAAGTCCCCCGTGACACATGATTAAAAAAAAAACTTTGTAACTCGAACTGACTATTACCGGGATGTTAGAGCCGTGTAACCAGATCCACTCGTCATGTTCAATTAAACTTTGTAGGCATAAAACCGATGGTATTTAGTGAGTATATATGTAGTTGAAAGCTTCTCGAAATTTGAAAATATCTGTTATGCCCCAGAAATTAAGTTTCCGGACTTCCACAAGTACTTTCAAGCATAGGTGATATTTTGACATTGAATGAAATGTAACTTGAGTTTGGACGTAGGTACAATGTGTTAAGCATCAATAATAAAGTAATTAATGCAGGCTAACTAATTTTTTTAATCAGTCTTTTGACATTAATTTCATACGTGTTGACTCAAAATTTCGATTTTTGCGAAAACTTGTAAGTACCAATATTTACCTTAATATTCAACTTTTTTATTTTTCAGAATTTTCTCTTTACTTGTGCTGTAAGACCTTGCTTTTAACCGAAGTTGACAATTCTAGGTCAACCGGAAGTACCCTATAGGTTTAGGGTCGAAAACCTATATGGTAGTTCCCGTTGACCTAGAATCACGAAATTTGGCAAAAAGAAACGTCTTACAGCACAAATAAAGGAATAATTAAAAAAAAATAAAAAAGTAAAACAAATTAGGATAAATTTTGGTACTTACAAATTTGGGAAACAACAAATTGTAATCATCATGGACATAGGTCTCTCCTTAGAAAGGAATATACAACAATACAAAATATATATATAGATATGAATATATATAACATACGCACGTAGCACCTTTGTCAGCTCTCTGTACATAAATATTCGCATATTTGCTATCATTTGGCGATGTTAATTAGTGCAAAAAAGACGTGTTTCATGTGCTAATAAATACCATATCAGGTAAATAAATAAAACATTTAATATATCTGTTATTTAAAGGGTTATAAAACATCGTCGTAACAGTAACAGTGAAGTCACGTTCTACTCTAAAAGTATAATACTTATTATTTAAGTTCGACTTTCGATGTCCTTAAATAGTAGGATGTGCAACGCCTGCAATGTGATATGTGCCGAATCATTTCGCTTGATCCTCATCGATGTTACGACATGGAGCTTGTTATTGACGTGACGATTGGTCACGAACTGAGCATGTCACACGTGTACTATAAATCATAATCTACGGATTTAGGAAAGATATGAACCTTTCATATAGTTTACTAGCTGAGACCCGCGGTGTTACCCGTGTTTGTTGTTATAACCGCGGGCAAAGCCTCGGGGCGAAGCTAGTCTAAAAAAAGTAGCCTAAGTTACTCGGCTGATGACATGAAGATGTCATCAGCTATCTGCCAGTGAAAGTCCCGTCGAAATCGGTCTAGCCGTTCCAGAGATTACCCGGAACAAACAGACAGACAGACAGACAAAAATTGTAAAAAAAATTATTTTGGCATATGTACCGTGTAAACATACTTATGCGTTTAGTAAAAAGCGGTTATTTTAATATTACAAACAGACACTCCAATTTTATTTATTTGTATAGATTAAAATAACTCTTTAAATTATTTGAATTAAGTGGAATAGGCCATCAAAAACCAAACAATCCAAGCATCAAAGTTGCAAGTAACTAAGATACTATGAAAAACGTTTAAATTGTATCTAAATCTTAATCAAAATATTTTAAGCTTAAAATCTACTGATTAATAACTTTTAAAAGGATATCGTCAGCTGTAAAGTAAATAATCCGATAAATAAATATAATCTGTGTTTTAACATACGCACGTAGCACCTTTGTCAGCTCTCTGTACGTAAATATTCGCATATTTGCTATCATTTGGCGATGTTAATTAGTGCAAAAAAGACGTGTTTCATGTGCTAATAAATATCATATCAGGTAAATAAATAAAACATTTAATATATCTGTTATTTATAGGGTTATTAAACATCGTCGTAACAGTAACAGTGAAATCACGTTCTACTCTACAAGTATTTATTTCACTTGTTTTTTTCTAAACATTGTTTTAAAAAGCTATAGTCCATAGTACTTCATCATTATGTTCCTACCTTGCTCCCTATTCTTTTTAAAACCTACCAAATTTCAAACTTCTTTGGAAATGTAATCATTTTTGGGCGGAACAAAGTAAATTTCGTGAAGAAAACGGATTTGAGTCTCGGCCATCCGAGAAAAGAGTCTGAGATTGTAGTACCTGAGAGAGTCAGGCGTTCGCGTAGCCTATATCTGTCTTCTGATGTCGGACTTAACTAGAACTCTGACATCTAAAGAATTTCTAATCTAAAAATCCTTAAATATCCCGAAAATAATAGTCTTTGAAAAGAGTACCTAGATCACTATGTACGCTGTCATTTTTTATGAATTTACGTAATCGACGCTTAACTTTTATTTTCAGAATGACGGGTTCAAGTATCAAACAACGGCCAGTTGGCAAACACAAAGAAATTCATGAGGAGCCTGTCCAAGTGAAGAAATCAAAGTACTGGGATCCTTTAACAGAAGGAGTCAAATGGATAGAAAAATATGGTGACTCCCTAGAGAAGTTCTTTGAAAAACTGCCAGAGTTCCTAAGTACCTTTATTGCCACCTTAGCTATATTCACATTTGGAGCTACTTTAAGAGGTATATATAATTTGCTTTTACTAGTTTTGTTTTTAGCTATAGTCCAGGCTAGGTATATCTATGCCTATATCTAGATCCGTGTGGTGACGGATTAAGAATACAGAGTGTCACCATCCCTATTCATCCCGTGGGTGTCGTAAGAGGCGACTAAGGGAGCAGACTCTGCAGGACAACAGCACTGCAGAGAGAAGGAAAACTTGACACAAACCCTATACCAACCCGTCTGGCCAGCGTGGTATAGTAGGCCAAAACCTAATTTCAACGGAGAGGCCGATGTCCAGCAGTGAAATAGTAAAGGCTGTTGGTAATATCTAGATCCGATTGGTATTAATTGCGAATAGATTTCACGTAACGTTCTCCTAAACATAGTTTAAATTAGGCCAGATAACATACTTTAGATATGTAAATTGTTCTAAAGTAAATACTGAGAATAACACAATCAATTTATTCGAAATTAGTAATGTTTAAAGAAAATTAATTAACGTCTTTAAAACTTATAGAACATACTTTTTTTGTGTGATAAAAACCAAGAAATTCTTATCAGACCTTAAAATAACATTATGTACATAATAATAATAGTAATGTAAACGGCATTCTGATGAAAATATTCATTTAGAAAATTGATCTAAAATATTTAAAACGGTGCAGATGTTTAAGTAATCAATTCATAAGACGCCGTGTAGAAGACTTAGATTCAGTGTAGTTTTAATTATCTGTTCTAAATCTACTTGGTTATCATCATTAGTTTTTTCTAAAATTTTATCAAAAATGATATCACATTAGCTTGTGAGTTATCTTTTACTTGACAGCAAAAATAAACTAATTTGTAGATCTAAAACGCTAATGGTCGAATATGGTAATCAAAAGACAAATCGGCTTGACGACAATGAATTACTCAATAACATGAATTGGTTAATAAGATAAAATAATATCTTATCTAGGAAAGTGCCGAATTGCCGAAGAAATATAAACATTTAATGGTATGGTTTACAATGTAACAGCTATGAAAATCAAAATTTACATTTATATTTGATTGCTGGTTTACAATGTTAATATATAGAGTATTTGGTTGAGAACAAAACACTGAAGGCTCACGATCATGAGGTTTTAGATTTAGGTACATATACATACACTATAACCTGAAGAGAGGCAGAATTGTCTCTTTGTCTATTATATTTTGGTCTCATTTCACAAAACGTCGTCTTTTTTTCTCATGGTTTTTTGCTATCGATCGGATATTAGGAATTGATGATTAGAAAATTGGATGCACGTTGATAGAATAAGGTATATAAAGGGAAAGCAAGGCTTTCGATTCAATTCAGTAACACTGTTGCCTACAAAAGTACCTACCAATTTTTGATAGCCAAGTGATATATATTATAATGAATATTTGATACCCACCAAACTGATGGTTTGAAAAATTTGAAAAACATGACGGAAGTAATTCATAATGGACTAAAAAAGACAAGTATCATGGCTAAGTTCACTCTGTTAGTTTCAGAATAATACTACTGCTACCACTTAACGTAAAAAAATTAAACGGATAGGTTAGAATATGCCTAATTGAGTTATGACGTTGCATCGAATCATCAACTATAACAGTCCTCTGCTGGACATAGGCCTCTACTGAGAAAGGAGGTTTTATTCTGCTATTTTTCCTTCTCTTTGCAGTGCTGTTGTCCTGCGTAGTTTGCTCCCTTAGTCCGCTTTTACGACACCCAAGGGATGACTATTCATCCCGTGGGTATCATAAACACACACACCATGTGTGGTGACACATCGCACGCTCTGTTGCATCGAATGCTCTGTCGCAATTACCCTTATGAGGTGCACTTTTTCAAAATCTATAGGATAGTTCTAGCTATCCAGAGTATAATTAATTTTACTTCCAGGAGAATGGGTGGTCATCCTGGTGACAGCTTTAAAACAGTTGACTGGCCAAACTCAGACGAATGTCAACACAACAACAGATCTTCTAGAATTATTCACATCAAGGAACATGAAGATGGAAAACTTTTTGTTCATATTCATTGGGGCTCATATTGTCTCCATGAGCATGTATTTCTTGATCGGAGGATTCTTACATGTAAGTCGTTTTTTGTGTAAACAATAACTATTTCACCGTCTCCTGCTTTGCTTGCTTCCTTGATTATAACATGTAGATTATTAATTTCTGCTTTGTCACATCATGAAATTAAATTTGATTTTAAAGTACAATGGATAGGTACTCTAAGGCTAAACTCTCTGAATCTCCTTCTTTAGCTAAAGTTTTAAGCTGGAAATCGACGGCAGCGAAAAATCTTTTAAATATTTATATCTAACGATAGACTTCTGTTTCTCTGTCTGTCCTGTCCGAATATTGGATCTCCTTTATTATGTCATGATTAATTTTAACATTAAAATAGATAGACTGAAATCTACCTAACATTGACTAAAATAGTAAAAAAATATAGTTTTTGGAATCCTGTATTCTGAGCTGTATTCTGATTTCGATCTGTTTGATAAAAAAAAGCTCAGAATCCCATTCAAACTTATACACATAAAAAAAAAAGTTCAAAGTCAAACAAGGACCCTTTTTTTTTGGTGACGTGGAAAATCTTTTCGGGTCTCCGTTTCCAAGGTTACGCAGGAGCCAGGAGTATGTTGTATTTCCACCCAAAAACTGGTGAACTGCTCTGGTGAAGACCCGGACTAAAGTCAAACGAGAATCCTAGGATCCAGTTACAGCACCACCTATCAGTCCAAATTGTATGTCTAAAATTCTAAATCATCTAAGGACCCTTGAAATTCAAATGTATTTTAAAGTTACCGTAGTTTTTCCTATCATGACAATTGAGATCTTCCGATTTATGGATGCCTGATAACAGTACTTTAGGCAACTAAGTTGACATTTGATAAGTGGTTAGTGCCTACCAATATTTGGCAACACTGTCATAGGCGACCTTCTAATCGAACTTATTTACCTAACTATACTGTACGCAGAATGTACTAAACCACTCGAGTAGTACGTACAATAAATGTTTTAAAATGATAAGAAAAGACGAAGAAAAAACGGTTTCTGTAAAAGTTAATGTTTGACAACCGAATGGCGTAGTGGTTTGTGTAACGGACTGCTATTCCAACTAGTATAGTAACTCATTTATTACTGCTCATATGACGAAATGAAGAACGAACATGGCTAAGGTTTTACCAATTTATGCGCAAGAATTGTGGGATGCATCACGTTTCAAAAACTTTGAATGAATTGTTTGTTTCTACGTACTCCAATATTTTGGTATTTGTGTTTATATTTTTATAGGTATTGACCGCAACAATATATAACGTATATAATTCTTGAATCTCAAATTGTGTTAATGTCGTAACATAAATAATATCTAACGGAGAAAAAAAGCTTGGAAGGACTTTAGTACGAGTAAATTCGTTATGAGATGACTGGGTTCTTTTTTTTTTAATAACCGGGTTTAAGTAAATGACGTGGTATAATTAAGGTATGAGCGGCTGTAGCCTAGTGGTTAATTCATTGGACTTGGGTCATCAAGGGGTCGTGGGTTCAAATCCTGACTACTACACTACCGACGTGAACCCACTCCTAACATAAGCAATTTAGCGTAGCAGGAGTGGTTAACGGTAATACTAGTAATTTCGGTTGCTAGTAAGCCTTTAAAAAAAAACAGTTATACAGTAAATAATATGTACAGACTTATTAAATATTTAATTCGCAAAAAATAATTATAAACAATAGTCGTTTGTTACTTAGTTGCTACTACTGCTTTTAGTTGAACACTAAAGTTTGTTAAAGGATCCCGAATATTGAGACAGTCATTATAAAATATTTTAAGTAGGTAAATGAGTAAAGTCCGTGTAGTGACGGATTAAGAATACGGAATGTCACTACCCCAATTCATCCCGTGGGTGTCGTAAGAGCCGACTAAGGGCGCAAAAACGCAGGACACCAGCACTGCAAAAAGAAGGAAAACTTGAAACAAACCCTATACCAACCCGTCTGGCTAGCGTGGTATAGTAGGCCAAAACCGCTTTTCTAAGGAGAGGCCTATATCCAGCAGTGGACTATTAAAGGCTGTTGATGTGATTTGATGATGAAATGAATGAAGGGACAATCGAATTTAATTGTATTTTTATATATCACGTTCTTGATGGGATTACAATATTGGTATATTATATGAAATCTACAAATACTTAAAGACCTAAATTGATTAACGCGATTGCATAATATTAATTACTCTCACACCAAAGTACAATATCCTATAACTGTTTACGACACCAATAATCTAATCAGTCATTTGTTGTTTTGTTAACTAATAATCATTTTAAATAATTCATACGTCACAGAGATAAAAACATTTATTATCAAACACCTGTAATCATACTGAGGTTAATAAAATCAGACAGACATGTCTTATATCACATACGCTACTGGACAAAAGATAAGAATAAAAAGATTCATTATACCATTGGTATTTAATTTAATTATTGGTATTATATTATTCGAAAGCATTATGCTTATATACATTTTTGCGTTATGAAAACCCATACTAACCCATTGATATTGTAAGCACGAAAGTTTTTGAATTTGTATTTGAGTGTTTGTTACTCAATTAGGCCAGAGTGCCTGAACGGATAACGATAAGGCACAGACATGGAGAGAATAAAAAAGCACATAACATAGGCTATTATTTATCAGTAGCAAACTAATAAATAATAAACAATATACGTCATCTTCCCATGACTTCTTATGACTTTTACGGCCGGTTATGACCAAGATTGTTTGGCGTCAACCCATCTCAGGAACGCAGTCATTTCCAGATGGAAAAAAGGCATTGTTGAAGGAAAAAAAGTAATAAATATTTTGACGGGCCCGTTGGTCTAGTGGTTAGTGAACCCGACTGCTACGCCAGAGGTTGTGGGTCCGATTCCCACCCAGGACTAGTCTATGTGTGATGAGTACGGTAATTTGTTGTATGTCTGGGTGTACTTTATCTATATGTTATTAAGTATGTTTATCAGCAGTCTGGTTACCATAACACAGGCTCTGCCTAGCCGTGTGTGAATGTGTGTGAAAATATTATTATGTATGAAATATTATTAAAATGTTTTTTTTTCTTCTAAATAAAAACATCTGACTAAATAAATCTTCATCCCAAGGAAGAAACCAGTATGTATATAGTGTACATGTATATAGTAGGGAAGTTCTGTTTTTGGTCACTACAGTTTATTTAAAAGATGAAGGCAATTGGTCTTACGAGAGTTTAAATGCACTGGTACCCATTGCTAGTCGTTTGCTTATTCAAAAAATGAATGTTTGTTAGGTATGCTATCAATATTATTAGGGATGAGAAGCTACAATTTTGTATTATTCTTCTAAATTTAATTTTAAGGCGAGCTTTTAACATTATGCTACTAATCCCAAATAATGTATAATTATAAAGAGGAGATGCCTGCGTCCAGCAGTGGACTATATGGATGTAAGTTTTTGTTTATTATAGCGATATTATATTAATTTAGGGTAGCTTAAATCCAAAATAAACTTTTCCCGCGAAAAAATGAATAACTTACAAAATTTACAATGTTTTTCTTTTTACAGTGGTACTTCTATGTAAAAAGGAGGCATATAGCAAAAGAGTGGAAAATACAGCCTGAAAAGTGGTTATCACCAGAGCTCGAGCGACATGAGATTATGGTGGGCACCTTATCTTTGATCATCACGGGCAGTTTCTCAGCATTCCTCGCTTGCTACATCTTCAATGGAAACCCTTCTACTGTGTACTTCCAATTTGACGAATACGGCTGGTGGTGGTTCTTCCTGCAGTTCCCTGTTATCTTCCTTTATAATGTAAGTATCATTACAGTTGGTTTTAGAAGGCCAGTTAATTAATAGAATATTTTATTACAAAAAAGTCCGTAAATACTTTCCTCCAAGAGGTTCCTCCAAAAAGTCCGTAAATATTTGACCTGTAGGTTTACTGATTGGTGAGCCTGACTGCTAAGCCAGAGTTTGTGGGTTCGAGGACAAATATTTAGGTGATGGCCATGATTATTTGTTCTCTGTACGGGTTTAATTTATCTACAATATGAATATATTTAGAAATATAAGTATGTTTGTCAGCAGTCTGGTTACCATAGTACAGGCTTTGCCTAGTTTGGGATCAAACTGCCATATGTGAGATTTGTGAAGTTATTAATTTACATTATTAGATATTTTGAACCTTATTTACTAAACTTAAAATTTTAAAAAATAATTTAGAGCACCATTGATGCTCTCCTTGACTCTAAAATGCACACTGAATTATCAAATCATGTCTGTTCACCTTTATGACCAAAATTGGCAATCTTCCCCTACAGCAAAGTTATATGTTGACATACATACGTAGAAGAATAATTCTGAAGAAGTTCTGCACGTAATATTACGTAAAGTTGCGTTACTTACTCACATTCACACACACACACACACACACACACACACACACACACACACACACACACACATAAACACACACACTCTCTATACCCAAATTGTATTGTAATCAATGGAACGATGCTGTCGTTTCCTTCCTGGAGGTGGCTGTTAATAGCCACGACACAGTTTTTAACTAATGTGGCTGTTTTAAATTAGGCTAAATTATATATTGTTTTCTTGTTCCAAATAAAGCTTATTATTATTCTCTTTATCACTACACACATTACACTATTTCAGTATTCGTTACGATGTCCCTTACACCCTTTATACATATCTATACTAATATTATAAAGCTGAAGAGTTTGTTTGTTTGTTTGTTTGTTTGTTTGTTTGAACGCGCTAATCTCAGGAACTACTGGTCCGATTTTAAAAATTCTTTCAGTGTTAGATAGCCCATTTATCGAGGAAGGCTATAGGCTATATATCATCACGCTAAGACCAATAGGAGCGGAGTACCAATGAAGAATGTTTTAAAAACGGAGAAAATTTATTACTATTGAGAGACGCAGACGAAGTTGCGCGGGTCAGCTAGTTCATTATATTTTTAAATATACACATTATTAAAAAAAAAAACAAATTTAAAAACGTACAGGGACCAAGACACCGGTCACACCGGGCACCTGGTTAGGACTCCAAAGATAGGAATCTCCTAACTATACGGGCCGTATCAAGGAGGACTGCCTTTTACATCAGACCCTTGATCCGGCCGTCTAACGTAAGCCTCTTAAGGGGTTGTTATTATTATTATTAATAATAATAGCAGTTTCATTAGCGTCCTTACACAAGTTGTGAATGAAAAATCTTATCTCTTATTAGTGTCATAGTTAGAAAATATATGCTTTTTTTTCAGGACTACACCACTTATATTCTCCACCGCATGTACCATACTCCATGGTTGTACAAGCACTTCCACAAGTTGCACCACAAATATAAGCAGCCCACCGCTTTCTCTGTTACCGCTATCCATCCCGTTGAAATAATGCACGTTCAGCTCACTATGTGCTTGCCGCTGTTCTTCTGTCCCGTTCACTGGCGTAAGTTTGTTAATTACTGAAACTTTTGGTATATTTTGAATTTAAATCATAACTAGAGAGAACAGGTTCTGCAGCAGGAGTACGTTTAAGTTGTTTACACCTAGCTCGTTTCAAATGTGAATGAAAGGAAGAATGAGCTGATTTGAGAGTGTGTGTGACCTCAATTAGCCCCAGACATATAGAGAAAGAAAGAAGTTGTAAAAATATGAGAAATCGGTAGGAAAAACTCTTGTGTCTAAATATAAACTGCACGGATGGCGTAGTGGTTTAAGCGGCCGCTACGCCGCTTCCTATTACGCCGAGTGTTGTGAGTTCAAACCCCACATGGGACAACACTTTGTGTGATCCACAAATTGTTGTTTTGAGTTTAGTTGTACTTTGTGTCCGTTTCATGTATGTTTGTAAAGTCCCCCGCGTCCCAGGATATATTTCTAGTGCGGGAGATGTAAAAAAGAAAGTGTTGGATTATAGGGTCGATTGGCCGTTAGATTTTTTCAAATATTTATTAGATTGAACAGCTAGACGGACTAGATTTCATATTGTTTTTAATATATTATAGATGTTGTGCTATTTAGTTCTGTTCTGTTCAATTACTTTATTCAAATTGGAATTCGTATTTAACCCCTTTTAAACGTATAATATTATAGTATGATTGAATTAGATATATTACTCGTATAATTTGAGTTTAGCGCAAGTGTTAATGTCATAGTTTTTTTTGTCTAGTTCTTTGATACTTTTGAGCTCATTTACTTAAATTTTTCTTTTCAGTTCCATTCTACAGCATCGCCATATACGTTTACTACCATGGAATCATTGATCACTCAGGCATCAACTTTAAAGCCCAGTGGTGGCAGCCTTGGCAGCCCGACGCTGATTTCCACGATAAGCACCATGAGTTCTTCCATTGTAACTTCGGTTTTAACATGTCTATATGGGATAGAGTAAGTTATAATTTAATGTTATGCATATTTTTTTCCACCTAAAATGTGCCAATGACAAATCTAATCATTATAATTGATTACAATTATAATGATTAGATTTGTCATCATCATCATAATTATTGTCGTCATCATCATTATCACCTTATTCTTCTCCTTCTTACCCATTTACCAATTTTGTTTGAGATCGGCTCAATTTGTAACATTGAAAAAAGTTTTGACTGTATTATTTTGTGACCTGCCACCTACGTGATGCGAATTCTCTGCCCAAAGGGCTTTGGGAAATAATGAGAATGAAGAAGAGGGGTTGGGCGAGCTTAGGTACAGGGTAAGGGTATCCCTTATTATAAGTCTTGATGGGGAACCGGACTATAACTGCATTAGGATGAAAACACCGGAATCAAGTTCCCGTAAATCCGTCCTGCAAATGGAAAGATCACTACGACACACAAATAACAAATTAAAACGACATTTTTAAACGCTTTCAATGTTTTTTTCATATCTTTTTTTTGCTTGGAACGCATGAGGAAGCCTACCTTCCAACTTTCTCTTATCTAACGACAAACAAGAACAATACAAAATCGAAGTTTAATAACATAATATTCTTTTATTTTAGCTACATGGTACGATGAGAAAGAAGAACCTTGTCTATACTGAAGAGACGTTCCACGGAGAAGCGCCATCTGCCAGCACAGATAAAGGAAAAGCGATACTCGCACAGAATCCTGAGTTATTAGAAAGTCTGGAAAAATAAACTAATTCTTAAGTCTAATCTCTAGAAATTAATTTAAGAAAGTGTTGTTATACATGATTAAAACTATTCTAATATCGAAGATTTTAAAGAGTTTATGTCACCTATTCCTTGCTAAAAGCAGATAAGGGAAAAAATGGTCTTATGAAGTTTTATAAATAAATTTTAGGTGAAAGTATTGGTTTATTTGTTACCTTAAAATATATCGCTTATATCAATAGGTTTAGTCTTCATTGCTACAATGCACTGTGGTCGTAAAACCGACTGACTGATATGTCGTCTAGCCACGACATTAATTGCGCATGAATCGCCATGCGGTCTTTCATTGATTGCCACAACGCGTTACCGAGGATCATAGATATTTCATCATAACATATTATTATTTATTTTATTTTTATCATGTATTTTCCCACTGCAGGGCAAAGGCCTCCCTCTCCCCCTTCCACATCTCCCTTTCGTGTGCTAGTTCGGACCAGCCTTTCGGAAACCACGTTGTCGTTTAGCGCCTTGTGGGAGGCAAGTGGTGCTAATTTTGGCCCATAGATCCGTCGGCATGCGGTAAACGTGTCCTTCCCAGTCCCATTTGAGTGCGACGGCTTTATGAGTGCGTCTCTCTAACATCTGCGATTTGTGTTTTGGAGCGTAGTGCTGTATTTCTTATTCGGTCTGTCAGCCGTACGCCCAGAATACTACGCTCCATGGCTCACTGGCAAACCTCGTAACATATTTACCTATATAATTTTAGACTAACTTAAATATTTTTGTAGATGTTCAACTGATATCGCTATGGGTTCTACTCGCATAGTACCTGTTCGTAGCGAAGCCAATTTAAGAGGGTTATTTGGTTGACCTGTATATGTGAACGTAATTCCTATACCATTCTTGTAACTACTAAAGGGCTGTACTGATTTTAAAGAATGACGTCATAGGATTCTTTCTTATGCGACGAGAGTCACTGAATATTTAGTGCCAAAATATATGTTTTTTTATTAAATTAGTTTTTGAAGGTGATATATATATTAATTTGTTTGTATCTTAGCGATGGTAGGGCTTTCTTACTTTATTTGATCATTTATTGTGACATTTAAAATATTTTTCTGACATACGAATTTAGAAAACCATTGATATTAATTAAGTTCATTTAGAAAACTATCTCTCTCTGCGCATAAAATATATACAGAAAATGAAATACGAAAATAAAATTTACATGGATTTATTTATGGCACATAAAAAAGTTATACGAGTATTTAGGTATGTGAATATTTCTTGTCATATAATTTCCTATTCGTGTTTACGGTTGCTTGTTCATTGCATTGAATGTACATGAAATTAGAAGTGGAGGGGTTACAAATTACCAATGTACACCCTTCTTTAAACTAGCATGCATTTATTAAAGTAGGCTTAGTTAACATAATGCATAATAACATTCATGCAATCTCTTTGTGGTACTATGTGTGATATTTTTTTTTTTCTTATAATTATGTATGTACCCACATGCTTTTGTGTAAATAAATTATTATGTTTTGAAAGCATGATGTTTTTTTTACAATTAATACCTTGATTCCTTCCGTGTGGTGACGGTGTAAAAATACATCTTGTAACCACCTCTATGCATCCCGTGGGTGTCGTAAGAGCCGAGCCGATAACAGCACAAAAGAATGTAATATTGAAACAAACCCTATACCAACCCGTCTGGTCACCGTGGTGTAGTAGGCCAAAAAATGTTTTCTTAACAAAGGCTTTTAACTCTATACGCCCTAACTTTACATACTCAATACTCCACTTAAACAATAGTTCTTGTAGAAACGAAACGGCCAAGCCACATATGCCTGCGCCTGGTTTTAGCGGGGACACTACCATGCACCCAGATTTAAATAAGATGTAATATTATGAGTTCTTTTAAATATTGATATTTTTTATTTTGCTATAATCCTATTTTGCTATCCGTATAAAGGTTGTCTGTAAGAGATCGCCGTGTGCGATAAGACCGCCTATTGTAATACCACATGTAGATGTCCATCCATGTCTGTACAATATATACTGTAGCGGTGTACAATAAAGATGTATAAATAAATAAATAAATAAATAATTAATTAATAGAACAGTAAAAAAACGTTAACAGTAAATAAATAACAATAGTTGACGGGCCTGTTGGTGTAGCGGTTAGTGATCCTGACTTCAAAGACAGAGGTCGTGGATTTACACAATATTTGTCCTGGGTGGGAATAGAACCCACTACCTCTGGTTTAGCAATAAGAATTACTAACCTGTTGCGTGATACCGTTAATTCCTGTGATAAAAATGTATCACAAGGCATTTTCGTATAGCTGTTATTCATCTACATTATATATTTCAGTGTTTGTCTTATTCAGGATTCTGGTCGCATTTCTTTATAATACCTCAGCATACGTTTCAAAATGAAAACAATCCCAATCGCATTATAAAATATTGAGTCATCGCCGTCAGTCTTTACGTTTTCGTATCAATATGCTTGACTGCCTATAATTTGTCGTAATAAAATCGTAATGGGATATTTCATCGCCTCCAATTCAGCCTTCGGGCGGAAACAATGCGGGTGTATAATAAGATCGGGTCTCGTACAAGAACCCCTCGGTATATTTTTTCTGAGAAGCGCAAATTTCCCCAACTTGTATTCTGTGAACGTACGATAACTTTGACACGCATTTTTATTATGATAATAGGCTTAAAAGTATACCTTTTCCTTGTGAATTGTGGGGCGGACCCCATGAATATATTTGTGATGTACATAGGAAATCATTGAAGGTAAAATTCAAAGTTTAATATAATTTTGTCCGTGTGGTGACTGATAAAGAATACGGAGTGTCACCACCCCTATTCATCCCATGGGTGTCGTAAGAGCCGACTAAGGGAGCAGACTTTGCAGGACAACAGCACTGCAAAGAGAAGGAAAACTTGATACAAACTCTATACCAACCCGTCTGACCAGCATGGTATAGTAAACCCAAAATCTCAACGGCGCTTGTTGGTCTAGTGGTTAATGACCCTGACTGCTACGCCAGAGGTCGTGGGTTGATTCCCACCCAGGACAAATAATTGTGTGTTGAGCGCAGTCATTTGTTCTTTTTCTGGGTGTACTTTATCTATATTATGTTTGTATTTAGAAATATATATGTATGTTTATGAGCAGTCTGTTTCCCATAGTATTGGCTCTGTCTAGTTTGGGGTTAGACGGCCGTGTGTGAGATGTGTGAAATTATTATTATTATTTCTATCTAGCCGCACATTCGTATCGAAGCATGAGGCTCTCCCACGAATAAAGTTTTATCTCTGCTAGTTTTATTAGAGCAACTAGCAGTAAAGTTTTAAAATATATCTTACTAGATCCGGGTCCGCCCACTTGTATGTCGGTAATCTATTTTACTCGCTGAGTTCGCTATCTTTCCATTGGTGAAATAATTTTTAAAATCGGTTCAGTGGTTCAGTGGTCACAAATAAACAAACGAACAAACTCATTTCTAAGTGTAGATAAGTCATTTAATAATGTTTGACAGAAATTATAATGGACAAGTGTACCTGTGTTCTACAGTACCTATCCTTATGCGAAACCTATCGGTATAAAATTCAATAAAACATACTATAATACATGCGTTTAATTTAGATCTATACAGAATATTACAACTATAATCGTCCTAGTACAAAAGTAAAAAAAAAGACTTACTATCCCTAATTTCATAATATCTCAACAAAAAACCGCAGAAGGAACATATTATTTAACTACCTAAAAGTGGTACATGGAAAATATAACCCTTCCGAATTTGATAGTAATACTTCGTACAAAATTTTCTTGTCCAGAACAACCTATAAATCGAACAGTGTTACGTAAGACCATCGATACAACTCGGTGCGACTAACAGTTTTTATTTAACTTCAATAAGTTTTGGGCCGGACTCACACGGATCTGGCCAAGTGCGAGTTTATTACATAACTACTCGCTCTCGACAGCGAGCGCGTTTGGCGTTGTGATTGGTGGAGATTTCAGTGCGGACCAATCACAGCGTCACCGTGACGATCAAGTAGATGTGAAATAAACTCGCACTAGGGCTTCTGAATGCGGAAAAGAGGTAATAAACGTTTTTATATGAATCTAAGTTCACCCTCAGCCAAGTGCCTCTATAGTGAACTCATTTAAGATACTTAAACCGTCACTGTAATATACGTTATGTATTAGGTAATCTAAAATATAAAAGTGGTGAAAAGTAAATATACAAAATGTAGGTGGTACGCAAAAAACGATGTTTTAGACACTGAATATTAACTGCCTGAGTGGGGCAGTGGTAGCGTATGCGACATCTGTGCTGAGGTCTCGGTTTCGATTCCCGGGTCAGACCAAATGTTTGCATGATCTGCAAATATTTGTTTCGAAGTTTGGGTATTTTCTATGTACGAGTATATTATGTATGTATTTACAAAAAAAGAATTTAAGTATTCTATCAGCCAATATAGTTTTCATATTACAAGCTCTGCTTAGTTTGAAACTAGATGGCGTTGTGTCAGATCTTTGAAAATGTCCGAAATATATTTAAGGTCCCAGTTCGTTAAATGCTTGGTAAATCTATGAGTTAAAATTAAAAATGTAACAATTGTAAAGTGTACTAAAATACATTAGTCCAAAAAATCGAATTTAAATCGAAGATTATTCTTACAAATTTGATCTGAGTGAAAATCGGCAAAAACTTAAAACCATCTTCATTCATCATTTCAATGAGTTTTTTTAAATAAAAGGAACCGTGGACCACAATTAGAACCGGAGATATAGAGAAAAACAGCTATTAAGCATAAGAAGTGTATACGAGGAAATCGCATTTGGGTTCAACGTGGGAAGGGCGAAAGATAAGTGATTTCCAATGCCTGATAACAAATACCTTTCATTAAAAAAGAAATAAGCAAATGGATTTGGTAGAACGACCAACTAAGAATTGATTTCAATATATTTTTTTAACACGCTTTTATTAACTTGGTAT